CTCGGGGCTCACACCCCGGGGGCGCGGTGCGTGGGCGTCCAGGACGTCAAAGTGGGAGGAGTCATGGAGACATAGGGTGCTTATAAGTGTACCAAGCTTCAAAGTATTTTTTTTTAAAGGTCTGTTTTTACAAATAAGAAATTTCTTAGGTTGTCAAATTTTTGGTAATCGATAAATAGCTACCTTTTTTGGAATGGATAAATATAACCATAACATATAACTTTAATTCCGAACACTCTAAATGCCACAGGACCATTTTAGACAGTCCCTTGTGGTCTGTCTCTACCCGAAGGTAAAAATTTCCCGTTTAGATTAATATTGCCGGTTCTCGTTATCCAGTTTTTTTTAACTAATGCAAGATGGAATATTAAATCAGAGAAGTCAAAAACTGTTGTCTTCCGAAGGACAAATTTTTATTTTGTCTAACTGTAGATACAATATTACAAACTACAAACTTCAAAATTGCATTTTGCAAGATGTGCTCACAGATGCAACTTGCAATGGACAAAAATTGTCCCCTTGGCATTTAAAGTGAAGAGAAATTCGCATCGGCAGTGACGTAGCGTGCCACTGGCGGCCGCCGCGCGGGGTCTCTCAATGCCGAAGCACGACAAGATGGCCGGAGAGTCCAATTGCCGTAAAACGCAACAATAACGCACGCTCGATGGGTCGTCGGCAACGACGACGACGGCGACAGCGGCAGCAGCAGCAACAACAACAATGGAAATGACTATGAAATTTCTGCCGTTGCTGCAGCAGTCATCCGCCCTGTCCTCCTGGCCCCTTAGCTGAGCCCCCGCTCCAGCAGACCATGGCAGCCTTCACTTGATCGCGGGGCAGGCGATGGTGGTCCTGATGCCGGTGCGCCAGGACCGACAAATGACGCGATTCCGACTTGTGAGTCCAAGCGAGAGCAGGACGCACGAGGACGCGGCGATACCACGTCAAATAATGGGGCGACGCGCGTGCAACAAATATTGCAACGCCGAGGTCTTGTAGCCCACGCAGTACCCTTTCCCCGTCCAGTGCGCCGAAGGCAGGCCACGCCAGACCGGCAAGCAGGTAACATACGCGCATCACATACGTGCGTGTTTGATTTGTGAGAGAGCTCGTGCTCACACACACACACACACACACGCCGGCGTATATAAAAGCACTCGCGCGCGCGCGTAACTCACACACAAACACACACACACAAGCGGAATACTTTATATCGTAAGACTTTTTTTCCCTCACTCGGTCCGATTGTTCGCGACAACGTGCATCCTGTATGGCCGGGCCTGTTTCACCAACCGCTACCACCAGCGCCTTCACCTCCTCGCCGTATAGGTCTAATCACGCCCTCGATCTGCCCCGCCGGCACACACACACACCTGATGAGTATGCCTAATTAAACTTTTACTCATCCAGGTATTGTTTTCGCAGCCATTCGGACAAGGTTTAATATCGCCGCGCCCGCCCGCTCCGCCCGCCTTTTATTGACGCCCGTACAATGCGCGTGTGTCTTTAACGGGTCGCGCGGTGTGGGAGCAGAAGCGCGCCCTGCTCCTGCTGCTCCCCCTGCCTGCCTGCCTGCTTGGATTGCTCGTTGCCAAGGCATTCCCGCTTTGACTGGGCCGCGGGCGGCATAGTTTCGTTATTAGTGCCACCTTTGCGGAGTAGTTTAGATCACAAACTAAACCGCCGCCCGCCCCGGGGGGGCTCAGCCGGCCAGGTAGGCAGCCCGCCGCAGCAAAGGGGCGGGCGGCCGCGTAGTAGCCCGAGGGGTAGAGAAATGGGCGACCACCTCCTCCTCCTCCTCTTACAGAGCGGCCTGCTCGATCTCGTCCGTGAGCACCTGCCCGTCAGCGACGCCGCGGCGCCACGCCCCCGCCGCCTCCTCGACGACGGCCTTGATTGTCGCCAAAGGCAGGCCGTGCGGGCGGATGGGAGGCTCCCCCGGCCGCCGCCGCTGCGCTGGGCCGCTTTGACCCTAATGATGACCGCCAGTCGCTTTCTCCCGGAGCCTAGGCCGCCGTGTGCAACACCAAAAACTGCGGAAAAAGTCGCAATCTGCAGAGGATGAGAGCCCCGGCCCGGCAGAGCCAACGCGGCAAAAAGGCGTGAGAGCGGCTGTCGAAGCCGGCGCAGGGAGGACGCGGCGGAGGGCGTGGAGCAGGACAGGTCGCGGATACCGACATGGCTTCCGCGGGGAGGACCGCGGTGAGGAGGAGGACGGTGTCGCCCGGGAGCATCCTAAAGATGTCTAACGTGGACTCTACGATTGGTACTCGCGGAGACCGAGAAGAACCACGACAACGCTCTCATCGAGTCGTCTTCAAGAAGTCTGCGCCCGTGCGAGGGACGGCGCCCAGGGCTTAGGCCACTCGCACCCCGTGGCCCCGGGAGGTTCATCGACTCCACCCGCCCCCTCCTGCTGACCTTGGCGAGGCCTCGGCGGCGTCCCCACACGATGACCGGCGCGGGGTTGACAGACCCTGGCCGACCATCCGCCCGACGCGGCCGCGCGCGCGCACACACACACACACACACACACACACACAAACGCACACACAAACGCACACAGCGCGGGCTCGGATCCTCCGCTGCACAGGAAAAGCGGGCCGCCATGAGCCTAATGATGAGGCCTTGTTACAAGAACCGAATCCCGAAACAGCATCAGGCCGCGCAGTGTTGCTGCTGTGTGCCCGGCAGAGCCCCCGCCAGAGCCGGAGCCACTGTCAAATGATGATTACGGACAGTTTTTGTTGCGGCCACGCTCGCCGCTAGAGAGGCGCACCGTGCGGCAATCAGTATCTGGTAACGAGTGGGGGGAGGAGGGGGGGGGGGCATTCGACACATCCGCACGCTCCCCGCACCAGAGAGACACACACGACCGAATCGTGTGGGAAAAAATCACGTAACGCTAAAGAACAACAACAAGAAAAAAACAAAGAACAACGATGATGAGAGACGACCGACCGACCGCCGCGCGCGGCGTCGTGCGAGTTAATCGTCCACGATCACTTTTCGAGTCCACTCATCAGCGGCGGGCCGCCGCGCGCAGGCCGCGGGACCACCACCGTGGGGCCCGGGACTTCCCCCCCTCCAGCCGGTCGAACGGACGACATCTTGATTGACGTCGACCTGGCGGACACAATGAGGTGGAGGAGGAAGATGAGGCAAGCGCCGTCCGTCGCGACGGACGCCACGCCGATGGCTCGTCATTTCGGCTGCCGCGCCGCCGCTGTGGTCGCGCTCGGCTGCAGAACGTCATCGGATGTCATTTTATACAGCAGAGAGAACGACGGCGGCGTACTGCGTCGTACCTGTCCGCCCGCTCGCAGGACCATCGCCAGGGCCTCCGTGACCTCCTGAGGGACCCCCGACGACGACGACATCCTCCTGCGGTGACACGTGTACCAGCTGCACGCGGGTGAGCTGCTCTCCTCCCCCGCGCCGCTGCCGCCACCGCAGCAGCAGCAGGTCACCGCCGCGACTCTCACGCCGACACGCTCCGGCCGCCCCCGCGCGCACTCGCCGGCCCCCCGCTCTAGCCCGAAAAATACGATTTCTCCGGCAGCAGGCTATGCGGCGCAGCACACAATCGTACGCATGGAATACAGCTCGTGCTGCTACAGTGATTACATTCGTCAGTCAATGTGTTGACGTTTGTATGGCGCCTGTCAGCCGGACGCGCACGGCTGCCCCCAGCAATGACAACATCGAGGGCCGCACAGCTCGGCGCGGGCGGCGCGGGCCCGACGCGGTCCACTACCCCCGCCGCCCCCGCACAAGACCCCCCCCCTCCACGGCCCCCTCCTCCGCGCCGCAAACTACTCGGATGCTTGTCCGATTGCGGCTCCATTTTTCATGCGAGCGACGGCGACTCCCCCGCCGCCCCGAGGCGCGCCGCGTCCTCCTTCCGGCGGTGCCTTGTATATGGCATGACAATTTTTCATACTCGCCCTTCGCTCCTCTCGCGGGGGCGTCGCCGTCGCGAAAAAATGAGGAAAAACAAGGCCAGGGCAGCGCCCGGCCCCATCCATCCGGCAAGGTCCGACCTTGTGCCCCGGTGTAGGACCATGAATGTACCCCCACCATGAATGTACCCCCTTCCTTCCCAAAGGAAGGGGGTACATTCATGGCACCATGAATGTACCCCCCATAGCGTTGCATCAGCTAGGGGGTACATTTATGGTGCCATGGATGTACCCCCCTTGGTGTCTTTTTTGGGGGGGTACATTCATGGCACCACTGTTGTACCCCCCCGTCACGGCCCTTCAAGGGGGTACAACAGTGGTGCCATCAATGTACCCCCCAAAAACAGGCCTCAGGGGGGGTACAACAGTGGTGCCATGAATGTACCCCCCTGGAAGGTGGGGAGGGAGGGGGGTACATCCATGGCACCATGAATGTACCTCCCTGGAAGTTGGCGAGGGAGGGGGGTACATCCATGGCACCATGAATGTACCTCCCTGGAAGTTGGCGAGGGAGGGGGGTACATCCATGGCACCATGAATGTACCCCCCTGGAAGGTGGCGAGGTAGGGGTTACATGCCTGGCACCATGATTGTACTCCCCAGAAAGGTGGCATTTGCTACCCAAAAACTTACCCTTCATGCTGTCCAACAGTTGCTTTGGGTCAAACGTGTTTTTTTTTTCGTGTACAACGTGTACGATTGGGACAGAAGAGCACAGAAGGGCGTCTGAAGCCCTGCTTCTTTGAGCAAAGTAAGCATGAACGGTGCACAGTGAAATAAAAGCTAAGTTACGAAATTAAACGCACAGTTTTTTCCCATTATTTAAATAAAGAATAACTGAATTAAAAAAAAACACACTATTTTGTTGCAATACCTAGAGTGGAGCAGATAGGAAACACGTGTTGCCTAAATTCTTTATTCCTCCTTCCAGGGGGGTACATTCATGGTGCCATGGATGTACCCCCTCCCTCGCCACCTTCCAGGGGGG